CTCGAGGAGCCTCCCGCTGCGGTACGTTATGCATTGCGCATATTTTGCTTGAATGCGGTGGAAATTCTAATTGGAATTGTCATATCAGGAACCCAATGGAATGAACCAGAGCGTCGTCGGCTCGTGGGCAGTAGCGAAGGCTAAAAAGACCGCCGAATCCACCGCTAGCCCAGCGCCCACATCCTCCAAGAGAAGAACACATGGCGGAGAATCTGTGTCTAAGCGACGCAAGGCTGAGCCTGCGGATCGTTCGCCACCAACACATGTCAGCCTCGCCGATTTGGGTGGACTGGATGATGTTGTTCAGGAACTTGGGGATTTGGTCATTCTACCCATGACCCGGCCGCAGGTCTATCTATCGTCAAACGTGCAGCCGCCGCGCGGAGTACTGCTGCATGGCCCCCCAGGTTGCGGTAAGACTTTGATTGCAAACGCTTTCGCAGCGGAGCTGGGTGTGCCTTTCATCTCAATCTCAGCGCCTTCAGTCGTGTCAGGAATGTCGGGTGAATCCGAGAAAGCCCTGCGCGAGTACTTCGAAGAGGCCAAGCGTCTTGCTCCCTGCCTCATCTTCATTGACGAGATCGATGCGATTACGCCGAAGCGTGAAAGCGCCCAGAGGGAGATGGAGAAGCGAATTGTCGCCCAGCTTCTGACCTGCATGGACGATATTGCCCTTGAAAAGACAGACGGCAAACCCGTCATTGTACTTGCGGCAACCAACCGCCCAGACAGCCTTGATGCAGCTCTGCGTCGCGGTGGCCGTTTCGACAAGGAAATCAACATGACCGTGCCCTCGGAACCAATCAGAGAACAAATCCTACGCGCCCTCACCCGCAAAATGCGTCTGGCAGACGATATCGACCTCAAGACCCTAGCCAAACGAACCCCTGGCTTCGTGGGTGCCGATCTCAACGACCTCGTCTCGACCGCCGGCTCAGCCGCCATCAAGAGATACCTCGAGATCCTTAAGTCAAACAGCGGCGAAGAAATGGAAATGGAAATCGAAGGCGAAGAAGATATCAGCCCGCGAGTTCGCGATCTCCGCCGCCTCATCGTTCACGCCAAGGAAGCCCCCCTTGGCGATGAAGCTGAAGTCGTCCTCGTCTCTAACGCAGACTTCTTCACAGCCCTCCCTAAGATTCAACCCTCCTCTAAGCGCGAGGGCTTCGCCACAATTCCCGACACAACCTGGGCCGACATCGGTGCCCTCGGCGGTATCCGCGAAGAGCTCGTCACCGCAATCGTCGAACCAATCAAGAACCCCGATATCTACGCCAATGTCGGTATCACCGCACCGACTGGTGTCCTCCTCTGGGGCCCGCCTGGTTGCGGTAAAACCCTCCTCGCAAAGGCTGTCGCCAACGAGTCCCGCGCAAACTTCATCAGCGTCAAGGGCCCAGAACTGCTCAACAAGTTCGTCGGTGAGTCTGAACGCGCAGTCCGCCAGGTCTTTGTCCGCGCTCGCTCCTCCGTGCCCTGTGTTATCTTCTTCGATGAGCTCGACGCCCTCGTGCCCCGTCGTGACGATACGCTCTCCGAGGCTTCTGCCCGTGTTGTCAACACACTCCTCACGGAGTTGGATGGTCTCGGTAGCAGTCGCCAGGGTATCTATGTTATCGCTGCTACTAATCGGCCTGATATTATTGATCCTGCTATGCTGCGTCCTGGTCGTCTCGAGACCCTTCTGTTTGTGAACTTGCCTACGCCGCTCGAACGTGTCGATATCTTGCAGACTCTTCTTCGGAAATTGTCTATTGATTTCAGTGACGATTTGCGCAAACTCGCAGAGGAGTGTGAGGGCTTCAGTGGTGCTGATTTGGGCAGTTTGTTGCGTCGTGCTGGTTACTCTGCTATCAAGCGTCGCGATAATATTAAGCTTGTTGACTTTGTTGCTGCTAAGGCGTTCATTCGACCTAGTGTTACAGACTTGAGGAAGTATGAGAAGCTCAGGAGGGACTGGAGTGGTGGTGTGGTCTGAGTTTATATGCATTTCTCTTGGGATATACATATTTGGATCTACAGTTTTCTTTTTTCTCCCTTTTTTTTCCTTGCTTCGTGGACATAGATACCTTGAACATTTGATATTGGATCGTTAGATCATTCTTACATTGTATTACTACAATATATCCCATCTATTCTGATATAAGTAGAAAATGAGAAACAACTTTTTTGTAATATACCTATACAAAAGAAAGATTATGCACAAAAATAAATAGAAAAACGCCCAGAAAAATGTCAGACATCATGCAACGGCATCTCAAGATTACATCCACAAGCGACAGGTTCCATCGGCGCCAGCACTGACAGCCCACGCCTCGCGTGGGTGCCAGTCGATATCCAAGACACCCAGCTCGCCAGTAATCTTGTGGCCCTTGAGAACCTTGAGCGGCACAATGGTAGCATTGCTGAGCATATCTCCAGTAACGCTGCCGTGGAAGATCTGCAGGGATCCATCGTCGGAGGCATCCGCGAAGAGCGGGTAACGACCGCTGGGGTGGAACTTGACGGCACGGATAGCTTTGCGGTGGTAGCGGAGAGTCTTGTAGGGTCGCTGGGAGAGGTCGAGATCGTGCCAGAGCAGACGACGATCGTACGAACCGACGATAATGTTGTCGCCGCCGGATGCACTGGAAGAGGTCGGGTGGATGTCGAAGGACGAGATCCAGCGCGCACCAGGCTGCAAGATCTTGACGAGGAGCTGGCGGGAGAGATCGTAGGCACGGATCGAGCGCTGGTTGGCCACGAAAAGAATGGGTTTCGACGGGTGGAAGTGGGCAGTCTGAGGGGGACCACCGCCCTTGAGGCGGCGCTTGAAGGGGAATTGTGTCAGGTGCTTGCTGACTGTGTGGATGGAGATTGCGACGGAGGCGGGTGTCGAGGCGCCTGAGCACACTGTCACGAAGTAGTCGCCGCGGCGGTGCCACGAGATCGTCTTGGGCACGTAGCGGAGGGGAATGACGACGCACACACCGGCGTCCACGAGAGCGGACTCGGGACGGATCCAGGTCGGGGCTGTGTTCTTCTTGCCTTCCTCTGAAACACTGGGGGCCGGTCGAGAGGCGGCGAAACCCCAGCCTGCGTCGAGGAGGTCCAGACTGGCCTTCTCGATTTCGGGGTCGACGATAGGAGGCACGGCGAGGAAGATATCATCTCCTGCGGTCGCAGCGAGAACAACTGCGTCCTTGCCCGGACGCCAGCGGACAGTGTTGACCGCTTCGTCATCGCTGAGCTTCACGCTCCAGAGTTGGCGACCTGTGAGGAGTTCCCAGACACGGACGGTACCATCGTCGCCACCAGTGGCCAGCCAGATTCCAGTTGGGTCCACGTTGACGGAGCGCACACGGCCCTTGTGTCCGCGGAAGACTGTGGCACAGGCAGTGGGGAAAGGCTTGAGCTCCTCGGGGCTGGGAAGCTTGGGCAAGAGACTCTCGGGGTCAATGTTCAGCTTGCTACGGCGCACACGGGGAGCGAGGTAGAGATCCAAGCAACGCTCGAACTTCTCCTGGACGAAGTTTTCGTATCCAGGAACTCTGCGCAGGGAGCCGAAGTCGTTGGGTAGGAAGTCCTTCTCGCGATCCTCGGGATCTGTCTGCTCCCATTCCTTGCGTTCCTTGTTATCGGGGAGGTACTCAGCAGGCGGGTGGTAACTCTCCTCGTAGCCAGGGGGTGGGAGTTTGGGCGCCGGGATGTGCATAACGTGGTCAGGTCGCTCAACTTCGTCAGCCCACAGGTCATAGTTGATGAGTTCCTCATCCTTCTCTTCTCTCTCTTCTGGCGCCTTGTAAGGAAGGATGCGGCCCTCGCGGATGGCCTTCACAAGCTTCATAACACGCTTCTGCTCGTGCTTAGATGGCACGAAACGACGCTTAGGCTCGGGGGCGGCACTCAATGGCATGATCTCCTTTTGGCTACTAAACCATTCTACTAAAGGCTCATATGGGTCGTAGCCTTCAGAAGGAACCTCGTTCATCTGCACCTTGCGGAGCAACTCCAATTCCTCCTGGCTGAGCTCCAGAGGCTTGCCGGTCTGGGGATCAGTTAGACCGGTCCAGCCCTTGGGGATCTCAATGCTGTCCAACAACGCGTCCAGGGCCTCGCCCTTGGCCGGACGCATAATTTTCTTTCCATTGATGTCGTAACCAATATGGGGATATTCGTCGTAGAACTTCAGGGGGATGTCGCCAATGGTGTTGGCATTTTCATCGACCTCGGATAATTCAGAGTTGTCGTCCGGGTGAATTTCATCCCAGAGGTAACGATCGTTTCCGTTGGCGTCCTTCACAATGCGGAAGTTGGGTTCACCAGCAGCTGGCTTAATTTCTTCCGTATCAGAGGGGATCTCATCGCTGTCTAATTCTTCTTCTCCATCTTCCGAGTCGCTAAAGTCGTCAACTAGCTCGACTTCCGAGTCGCTGTCATCGTCCTCACTCTCGGAAAGATCGTTGGCGGTGTCCGACAAGGATCCATCAATGTTGCCTTTGCTCAATTCGTCACCGGAAAAGACACCAGCCTCCTCCTCAACATCACGAGTGACAGCCTTGCGCTTCTTTGAAGCCGCCTTAGGATTCATGGTGTCGTTAAGCGGGTGTTGTCTTATTGCTGTAGATCCATGGATTTTTTTTTAGGATAATTTCTTGCGGCCATTCACCGCTCACCGCCCACATGACCGCCCCCATGTTATCGGGTCTATCTATGACACGACCTTTTGGAATGTTTTTCTATTGAAAGGACTCTTTTAATCGAGAGTATTGTCAAGCTATGTCGCCCCCGCCAGAGTACGAAGGAGTGCTTCCTTTGTCTACGAATGATTCCTCAGAGCAGAAAAGACATGCAGCATGCGACGAGTGTAGTAAGTCTCACAGGCCGATGTAGTACAACCCTCACTCTGACCAGTTTACTGTTCGACAGGAAAGCGGAAGCTCAAATGCTCCGGAGAACTGACAGGCTGTTCACGATGTACTAAACAGTCACTATCTTGCAACTATTCCATACAAAAACAGATGGGCCGCCCGCCTAAGAAACGGACACGGACAGACGATGAGGGGACCGACTTTCCACCGCTATCTGGAGCTGAAATTTGGCCAAGTCCAGAGGACTCGCAACAATCTTCACTAGGAATTAGCCCAAACACAGGCACCTTCCCAGATTCCGATCATCTTTGTCCGCCGCTCTACTGGCGGCCTAGTACGAACACGGATTTGCCACAGCCCCAGCCTGCAGATTTATTGTCAGGCCATGAAGACCACAACCATACCTGGAGGCCAGACCGTCTGAAACAGCCAAGCCTTCCTGTTTTCCCATCGTCTTCCCCTTGGCCTGATTTCTCGACCGTCTCTGAAGCCACGGCCATGCCTATGTCAATGCCACTCCCTTATCCCTCAACTCTTCCCCACACACACTCCCTCCCGCTCTCTCCTGCTGCATCCGTTTCCTCTGACTCCACAACACCTGGGTGTACGTGTCTGTCATATCTCTACCTAAGCCTTAGCCACATGACATCAATCTCCTCCTTCCCGGTCAACTCCCACACTCTATGCTCGCTATATATTGCTGCACGAACAGCGCGAGACGTGATCCGCTGCCAAGTTTGTCCCAAGGCCTTCTCGACGGGCCTTCAAAATATCATGTTCATAGGGACTCTATTAACAGTCGTTGCGGACTCGTGGCTGCGCGTCTCGCAAGCCGATGCCATCGAATTGGGGATGCAATCCGCGCCTCCACACTTCGTGTCTGAGGTTCATCAGAACCCTGACCCAGCACAAGTTTGGAAATCATGGCTCCACCAAGTGGTTCGTCGTGCTGTCATTGGTGGTCCCGTTGAGCCAGGTGCTATGATCGCTTGTTCTGAGCAGCCAGATCTGCTGTCCATGATTATAGAACTCGAAAATCGGCAACGCCGCTGGCATGAACCTGGGAATCATCCACTTGGAGAAAATCAGCTTGGACAGTGGAACACAATGTCGGCTTTCTCGGACCCACTTCAGTCTCAAGATAAGGGTGAGCCCGGCGAAGATAAGTTTTTGTGCCTTCGTGTGGTTGGAAGTTCTAGAGAAGTGATTGCGAAATTCAACTTTGATCCTTCGGAATATCCCGAGGGCGTTGAGCCGGTCATTGCGCGCAACAAAGCGCATACAGGTGCACAGGACGCATGAAAAAAGTTGGTTAATTAAAGGCTGGGGTTGGTTATCTGATTTCTTCACTTTAAATATGTCCGAGACTACGTGGAGTTATTGTTATATACCATTCGACATTAGGTACGATACAAATATACATTTGCTTCGCTGGTACGAGGCTAGATATGTCATTGACCATTTCATTAAATTTTGTTGTACAAGCATCAAGTCAGAGTGAAATGACCCCCATTGTCCCTCGAATACCTGTCCATGTAGATGACGCCGGACCATGTGGATATGTAACAAGAAAACCGTATCGAAAGTACGAAAAGAAAAAGAACCATTGGGAGAAGGAAAGCGCTACGAGCTCACTCGTCGTCCTCATCATCCACCACGTAGCGGTTCTTCTTTCGGGTAGGAGGTGTGCTAGCCCTAGCTTGAGACTCTGGCTTGCTCCGGGCAGCTTTCGCAGGTGCAGCCTCCACGTCATCTTCACCTTCAGCGTCCATGTCTTCATCCTCCAGCTCCTCTTCGTCATCTTCGGCTTCTTCCTCAAGCTCCTCGTCACTGCCAACCAAGAATCCATCGTCCTCATCGTACTCATCTTCTTTGTTACGGGCACCACGAGAATAGTCCTCTTCGTCGTCGGTGTAGATCTCACCGCGACGGTTTTGGCGGCGAGGCTTAGCACGCGGACGAGTCGTAAGCAAACCGCCATCTTCCAGACCACCGACACTAAGACCGCTAGGACCAGCACGACTAGCACCATGGCGGCGACCACGGTCAGCCTCGCGATCAGCAAGCTGCTGACGACGACGCTCGGCCTTGATAGCTTCCTTTTCCATCATTTCGGCACGTCTGGCAGCCAACTCGGGATCCTCCGTGAGTTCATAGCGCGGCGCAGTGCCAGCTGCGGTCTGCTTGCTGCCACGGGCAGCAGCTGCCAGTTGTTCTTGCAGTCGCTGAACAGCATCGTCCGTCTCCAAGGTGGTCGGGAGAATAGTCAGACCTTGGGTGACATGTGAGCTCAATCGGAAAACTTGGGCTGTTTCCAGTCCAGCTGCGAGATAAACATGGGAGTCCAGCTTGTGGTCATATTCGCCGGACTTGGTGAGAGGTGCGAGGGGTTTGGATGCGATGCGGTATTGCTCAAGGGGGGAGGAGGCGAGTTGAAGAGTAATAGAGCCATCCTCCCATTTGATAATGCGGGCATTGGACTGCAAAAGAGACCCATCCGCGGGATCCTTGCGCCAGCATAGGGAGGTGGCAGCGGTCTGGTAAGGTGGTGGGACGTAAGTCTCGGGATTGAATTCTTCTCCTTCAATCGAAAGGAAATCCGGCACCCGCATTGTATAGACCTGTTGGTATAAGTTAGCTCAATATCAAAGGCCTCGGGGTAAAAGCTCCTCCTACTTCTCCATCGTTGGTCAATGGCATTGGCGCTCGAGAAAGGTCCTGGTCAATAATATTGACATGGTGCTCCTCCTGAGCCACATCTTCCATTCGGTCTTCGCGCCGATCATAACGGTGCTCATCGTCACCCGAGTCGAGGTGTTCATCGTCCAGGCTGCGATGGGGTCTAGTAATATATCAGTATCTAGCCCTTGTCACTTTGGTGTGGTTTTGCATACTCAATATCATCGAGTCCACCCTCTCCATCGGACCCGAAGAGATCGTCACCTTCATCCATTTGATCAGCCCCAGAGTCATTGGCATTGCTATGCGCAGGGCTTTCATTGCCATTGGGGCGTCGGACGCCCTCCTCATCGGAGGACATGGTGTATGTAATTTATTGTTGCAAGGTTGTAGATGTGTGGAGATGTGAAGTGGCAATAAAAATAAGGTTGACAGGTGTTCTTAATATTATATTAGAAGTGAGCGATCCGATATATTGTCAATAGTGTATTGACAATTGTTCTATCGGCCATTCACGACGGAGCTCCCATAATTCAATTGACACGCGGGACTTTAAATTCTCCGATCCCGAACTAAAACAGGACTAGCGTCTAGATGGCCCAGACCAAAAGGGGATCCTCAACGTGTGGGCATCTCACCGTCTCGTCCCTCATCCCCCCGTTATTTTCTTGATTTGAAAGCATTGATCAATTTCAAGATGGCAACTTTCTTTCAGAGCGTGTAAGTGATGTTGTGTGCCATTGTGGACTTGGTGCAATCGGCCGTTCAATCTCCTTTCTACATTTACCCCCTCATACTGCACGAAGAACCCCCCGGCGCCACAAATACAAAGGAGCATTCCATCCCCCTCAAAGTCTAATATATACCCTGGTTTCTTTGTTGTTTACATCTACCCTTGCTTCTTTTATATATTTCCACTTCGTTCTTACGCAGCTATACCTTGCCATCGTCCGCTAACTCTATTTTTGAACACAGTCGCCAAGGATTTGGCCGGGGAGGTAACAACAAGAGCAACAATCCCCCTAAAAGCCCAGCACAATCCTCGACTCCTCAGCATCAAGCTACCATGTCGAATTCGCCCTCGATTTCCAGCAGTCTATCAGTGGAAACTCAAGCGAACGACCCCGAGGGACCCAAGTACTTCTTCCAGGAGAAGTATGCCCCGCTGAATGTGAGGGGCAACTTTTTGACCCTCTGTGCTTGTCCGAAGAATGTGGAGCTCGGCGAGTGGCTGGCTCACCAGAGTAAGCAACGTGAAAGCTTATATTCGGAGCTGGGAGGCTAATGTGACTCTACTTAAGTTGTTGAACAATATCGTCTCCTCCATGGCATGCTCCAGGTTATCCAGGAGGTGAACAGTGTGACTGGCCTACCTATTTGCAATGAAAATACGTGTCCAACAATGTCCGCTGGACGGTATGTGGACATGGTGGGGTAAATTCTGAACTGGGCTAACGATTCCAAAAGGTTGACCTATACCTGGCTTGTTGATGGCCGCGCCGCCAAAATCTCCGCCCCAAAGTTCATCAACCGCGTCGAGAAATGGATCGTCAGTAAGATCCACGACCCTGTTATGTTCCCTACCGAAAAAGTCAATGGCACTCCCGAGACATCGGCCATCAAAGAGGCCAATGGCGCATCCACAACTCCCTCCGACCCCGCCAACCCAGATGAATGGATCGGCAAGTCCAGTGGCTTCCCACCAACCTTTTATAAGGACTGCCAGGGTATCATGAAGCAGATGTTCCGCTGCTACGCCCACTTGTACCATGCTCATTGGCTCAACCCCTTTTGGCACATTAACAAGCACGATGTCCTAAACATGTGCTTCGTTCACTTTGTCACGGTCTCTAAGTACTACGGGCTTGTCTCCGACAAGGAGATGGAGCCCATGCAGCCCTTGATTGAGTTGTTCATCAAGCAGCAGCGGGTTCCTCCAGAGGCGCTTAACGGTGGCCACTGGGCCCAGCAGGCCGCCACTTAAGCTCCACAGGCCTGGAGTTGCACCTTTTGTTTTTTACATTGACGACCATGACATGTCCGCTAACCTGGCGTTGGACCGCGCTGTCTTACTTTGCTCGTATTCTGCTTTCTTCTCCCATTTCAAAAAAAAGGGCGAACTTTCGATGATATGACCCAGAGCCGGGGCTTTGATTGAGCATTTAGCATGCGCTGTGAATTATTCTACTTGATGATCTTGCATATTCTCATCCACCATCAGCTGGTCATTGCATTTTTATTTATCTACTCATGCAATACATTCATCTGATCATAATTCCATAACACATCAGACTTGGGCCTATAGATGATCCACTAGATTGTACATTCCGTTTCTAGACCTAGTGACTTGAGCGTGCCTAGGGCTGCAAAAGATGTGAGCAATCCCTAAGCCTTGGGGGTAGTCATTCATTGGGATGACCGTCGTTATGATCCAGGTGTATACATCGTGGGAGGCATGAATGCTGTGAAACATAGCCAATTGAGATAGGTTGATCTTCGGCCCACACGCAAATGCAGTAAGCGCCGGCAAATAGCAGTGACCGAGAGCCACAGAGAGACTTTTGATAATGCCTTGAAGATTTGAGCAGTCCAGGCCAGCTAAAGAAGCTAATTGCGCGTAGATGACCCACCGAATTCACAGATAGACCCCATCCCCATCCTCCCGATCATTGGACTCCCGCCCTGCACCCGCCTCGGCCCCAGCTCCAGCTCCAGCTACAGCTTCAGCTTCAGTTTCAGTCCCAGTCGCATTTCCATTCGTCACTGGAACATCTGTCAAAGCGTCGTGTCCGTTGTCGATCTTAAGCTCATCAAGCTCAATCCAAGGCTGTCCACGATTCTCGACCTCGGTCTTCAGCAGCGAGATCCGCTCATTCATGGACACTGCCACACCCTCATTTTCTGTTACATATCCCTCCAGCTCCTTCTTGTCTTCTTCCGAGTCGTTGCTCTCAGCTAAGAATGCGCGGAGCTCGGCATTCGAACGGTGCAGGTGTGCAATGGAGTTTGTGAGCTCGGAGACTTTGCTGTAGAGGACTGCGAGGGGGAGCTCTTTGATTGCTTCAGCAAAGGCTCCTGGGGTTATGGGTAGGGATTCAGTTGACATTTTGATGTTTATTTTGTGAGGGGTGGAAGGTAGAGTTGGGATTAATGCGGGCTGATCTGTTTAGGTTGTCGTTATCGTCTTATCATCACGTGGGGGTTTATAGATCGGATGGGAAAGACGTGTGTATGGGAGATGTTGAGATTGGTTTTGAGTATTGGTAGATTAGAGATAGATAGGAATTCCTATACTATAGCTCAAGCAATACAATATTCAAAAAGATACAGCATCTTCAAATAATTCCTACCATTTCTCCATCTTCTGGCTCTCTACTCCGTACTTGCAATCGCGGTATCGGAACAACCCTGCAGCCGGCCCATATGATGCTACCAAAAAGATCACCGAACAATCAACTAACACACCATATTCCGTGGTCCTGAGCCCTCGCTCTCCAGTTACAGGATATGAGCAATGCGGTCTGGGCCCTATGGCGGGCTCCATGCCCAGGGCTCCGTACCTCCGTGCTACCCCCGGTAACATTCCGCCCTGCTAGTCGCGATCTCCGCATTACCCCATGGCG